CCCCCCTGGGCCGATGTGTCTCGCCCCCCCCCTGCATCCCCCTCTGCATCCCCCTCTGCATCCCCCTCTGCATCCCCCTCTGCCTCTCCCTCCCCTCCCCTCCCTCCCCCGTCATGCTGCACACTGGTAGATTTTTCCCATCTTCGTGGCCGATGGTCTTGACCCCCCGGAGAAGAGCGTCACCGTGCACGAGCGGTTCCGGAGCAAGACGCGGTCGCTGAATTTGGCGCTGGAGAATTACCTGCAGCAGCTCTCCCTCGGCCAGAAGGACGACTCACTGGCGGCTTTCCGGAAACTCAGGTAGCACCCGCATGCCGGCTTTTGGCGCGCCCTTCTTAAAGGTCTTTTTCCGGGGGCCGAAGTACTGATGCCTTTTGCCCGGCCTCCCTCCTCCTCTCTGGTCCTCCACCGGCGCGACAGCTCCGGCATCGCCCTTCCCAACATTCGCCTCAACATCCAGCACCAGCTGGGTCGCCTGGCCCGGCAGTACCCCGATCGTCTGGCCTTCGTCTCCTGCTTCACCGAGGCCGATGATTTGCTGACCCTGCTTAGTCTCTATTTCAGTGCGCCGGTGCTCGGGTACGTGTGTTGCCGGCGCTCCTCTGCTCCCTCCTCTCCGTCACCCCTTCCGCGCCTCCTGACCTGGCCCTCTCATTTCCCCCTCCCGACCGTGATGCAGTGATGACTCGGATTTCATCGTCCACGGCTTCGGCCGCATGAAGACCTCCTCCCTCTTCCGGAAGCAATTCATCCTCAAGCGCAGTGGTCCCGATGGCCGGCCGGTCTTCATGCCGGGGTCGGGCTTTCACAAGCCCATCCGCGCTGAGGTTATTCTGTCGTCTTCCTTGGCTTCTCTCTGTGAAACCACTTGTGCGTTGGGCTGACCACGCTTCCCGGGCCGCAGCGGCACAGGAGGCACAGGGCGCGCGCGGGGAGCAGGGGGGGGGGGTCTTTCTCGCATGGCCACCCGCCGGACAGCCCGCCTGCCGCATCTCACCCTCTCGAGCATCAGCCACGAAGCTTGCCTGGCTCCCCCTGATCATGGGCGCGGACTTCGGCCCGCCGGATGGACGCCTGTGGAGAGTTTTCCTGGAGAATGCCGACATGGACCCCAAGCGGTGGGGTTCTCTGCGGGCCTTCTTCCAGGGCGCCCAGCCGGGCTACGTGCTGCAGGACACCCCGTGGCCGATGTCCGGCGGGACCAACTTCAAGTCCAACTGGTCGATGTATGTGAAGAATGCCAACCTGTCCCGGGAGGACTTGTGTGCCATTTTCCAGGCCCTGCCGGAGCCGGCCGACTTGGCGCAATTCGTCCAGGTCCCGGAGGAGCTGGACCTGGGGATCCCCTTCAGCTTGGCCCTGCCGATGCTGCAGCATCAGGACCTGCTGCCGGGCCTGCTGGAGCACCTTCAGACCAGCTGCGGCGCCGGGACGCTCATGCTCAAGGAGAGGCACCTGCGGCCGAGATTCCCCCACATGGGGGTCAAGCAAATCCACGATGGGATCCTGTTGAATTTGGGCATCTTCGATGCCAGCCTCGGGGCCCAGGCCGGGAGCCGGCGTCTGGGGGAGTTTGCGCTGGAGCTCCAAAACTACCTGACAAACTCCCGGTTCGTGCGGCCTCGAAATAAGTGGTGCATCTTTTCGCCGCGGCCGCCGCCGAGCTTCTCCCCCCCGGCCGGCGGCCCGCCGCCGCAGCGCTTCAGATCCCCGCGAGCCGCTCCCCGGTGCCAGTGCAGGCACGCGCTGTACCTGGCGCAAGCCCACCTCCAGGAGAATCTCCTGTCGTCGCAAGTCCACTCGGCCTTCTGCTCGACGCATGCCGAGGCCCCGGCGCCGCTGCGACCGATGGCGGTCGACAGTTTCCTCGCGTCGCGCGGCCGCGCCGCCCACCAGGTTACCTTCCACCTGCCGCGGATGCCTCAGTTCGGCCTGCGAGAGGGTGTGTCCGTGTGGAATCCCGTTCGCCAGGCGCGCTTCCTGGCGTACGCCCTGCTGGCCCGTGGCCCGGCCGGCCGGCACCAGGCGTCCGACCTCCTTCGGGTGGTCGAGTATGAGCCGCTGCCCTTCCAATTGGGCGGGCACTTCCCCGCCGCTCCGGCATGTGTCATGCGCACTTACGAAACGGCCTGCCTCGATGTGATGCCGCTGCTGCAGCGCGTGGACCAGCTGCTGGGGGCCGACCGTGAGGGCCATGCCCTTGACCGGCTGCTGCTGCTGATGATCCTCCTGGCGGACCGCCATTCCGGCAGCCCCCCCGGCCCGGAGGAGATCGGCCAAGACCTGCAGCTCCTCCGGGAGCTGACGGCCGTCCTGGCCCGGGAGGACCACCCGGCCATCGAGGAGTATCTGCGTTCGCTCGGCCTGCCAAGGGATGTCAGTAGCGTGGCCGGGCGGGCCTTGGCTCCTGCCGGGGACCTTCGCTTTTCGCAGTACATCCTGGAGTACTGTGCCCGGCGGGCCACTGCCGCCTTCATCGGCCTGCCTCCCGGGACGGATGTCGGCGTGCAGGTGGCCTGTCCCTCGGGTGTGGAGGTGGCCCTGGCTGCGCAGGTAGAGCGGCTCACGGTGTCCGACGAGGAGCCGATTCCGCCCGAGCAGCCCCGAGCGAGGCACGCCTCCCCGGTGCCGGCGGCATCGGCAGGGGCCACGCCACCAACGCGAGCCCCAGCGCAGAGCGTGGCCGAGGAGGCCTCGGAGGATTCACCCATGGCCAAGTCGGGCCGCCGGAGAAGGGCATCGTCCAAGCAGGCCCTTCTTCCGGCTCACTCGGCCCTGTCCCTGTCGGGCCAATCCCCGGCAGAGCCTCGGGCCCCGCGGCCGAAACTGCGCGCGCAGACCGAGGCCGACCGGGCGTCCCAAGGCCAGGCCCCGGCATGCCCAGCCCCGGAGGAGGCACATCCTGCGAAGGATCCCCCAAAGAAGGGCTCGGCCGATGGGGCCCAGGGCAAACGCACCCGCGGGAGGAAGGCCCCCGAAAGGCCATCTCCCCCGAAGCAGACCTCCGACCAGGGTTCCCCTGTGCGGGACGCCCCGGTGCGGGACGCCCGTGTGCGGGACGCCCGTGTGCAGGACGCCCGTGTGCAGGACGCTCCCGCGCAGGAGCTCCCCGCACCGCAGCGGCCCCGCACCAAGCACACGGTCCTTTTCTCGCCAGAAAAGCTCAACGCCATGGCCATGACCCAGTCCCTGGCCTCTTCCTGGCTGAGTGTGTATGCCACACTGGCCGGGCGGCGTTTGTCCCTGCACCTGCAGCAGGCCGCGGGGGGTCCCGGCCGCGAAATGTGTCGCATCCCGAGCCCCTCCTTCGTGGTTGAGTGTATTTTCCTCATGATGAACACCGAGTATCCGTAGCTCGCGAGTGCTCGGCGTCCTGCCCATGCCCCCCCCCCCGCCGGCGGACTGGCGCGGGGCGGATGCGAGGCCGGTCGAGCCGGAAACTACGCGGCTTAACCCAATATATTCGATTAACGCGACAAAAGCCCCGCCAGCGTGTGACCACGCACCGCCACGGGATGTTGCCCTGCTGGGTGTCATCGCGTCAGCGAGATGCCTGGGGGGGGGGGGGGGGGCTCGCGGCCCGGGCCGGAGGGGCCGAAGGGCGCATGAGCCCGGCTGGGAGGCCGTATTCCTGTCCCCCAGGGCAGGCGGAGATTGTGGGTGGCAGGGGTGTTGTGGGCATTCTCGCGCATGAGCCGGCCGCCTCCGCCTCCGCCTCCGCCTCCGCCTCAGGCAGGTTGAGTCGCCAGGGGACAGCGATCCGTCCGGGGAGTGGCCCGAGGCAGTCGCTGTCTTTGTACTTTCCGCCCAGGAGCGTTTGAATCTTCTTGCGCGACAGCAAATGCCGGGGCTTGCCCCACCTGGGGGAGGGCGGGGAAAAAAACAACAAAAAAAAACAATAACAAGCAAGACAGTTCACTCGGAGGCGTATCTGCCTGCCTGTCATCCGGCGGCCCGAGCATGCCGCCGCTCGGCGGCGCCGGAGGAAGGGGAGAATGTCGCTGCCCGGGCCCAGAGCCAGAGCAGGGCCAGGCTGGCGGGCGGGTGGGCGGGCGCGGTGTGGGAGGCTGCTCCTGCTCGGGGGCGGGCCCGACGGTCTTATGAGCGCCCAGGGGGAGCATCCTCCGGCCTGTTGCAGGGCACACCGCCAACCTCCTGCCATGCTGGCCCCATATGCCTGTGATCTTCGCCCGTCGCCCTTCTTGTGTGGCCACCATCCGCTTGTCTCGCCCAGCTTGCCCCCTCCCTCCCGCCTTCGCCGCCCTCCCTCGCCCGCGCCCCCCGCCGCCCCCCGCCCCCTCCCCCCCCTCCACCCGATAGCTGCCCGGGCGCCGCTTCGCCCTGTCCCCCACCGTGCCGGCTTGCTGGCCCTCGCGCCATGGGGGTCTTCCGCCTGACGAGCATCATTCCCAAGGGCCTCTTCCGAAAGCCGGAGGAGGTGCCCTCGAGGGAGCACGGCCTGCGAGTGCTGCCCATCGACCTGGGCAATCTGCTGTACGGCATCAACGAAAGTACCTTCCTCTTCGAGGGGCAGACCATCGGCCTGGGCTTCGAGTCGCCCCTGATCGTGCCCTACCTGGATGCCCTGGTCGAGTGGTTCAATCACCACGGGGTGCGTTGCTGGCGGCCCCACGGCTGGGCGTTGCACATGGCCGGGCTGGCCGCCGACGCCCGGAACTGACTCACAGGCCCCCTCCCCCCCCCCCCCCCCCCCCCCCCCCTGCTCGTGGGCAGATCTATGCGATCTTCGTTTCCGACGGCATGAAGGCACCCGAGAAGGGGGTCACCGCGCTGAACCGCTTCCATGAAAAAATCAAGAGCATGAGCGCCAGCCAGGCCGACTACCTGTCTCACTACCGGGGCGGGCGCATGGACAGGGCGCTGGACCACCTGCGCGGGGCCGTGCACCATGGCGACTGCCTCCCGGCCTCATGCTATGAAGAGTGCCCGACCCTGCAGAAGGTCCTCGACCAAAGCCGACAGAAGCATCGCAAGGGTCCGGCCCGGCGCGCGCCCGCCGAGCCCATGTGCGTGGTCATGGGCTTCACCAATGTCCTGTTTAATGTGCAGCGTCATCTCACGGCCCTGGCGCGCCGGGACCCCGGGCGCCTGGCCTACATCGGCTCCTTCACGGAGGCCGACGACATTTTGGCCCTGCTGAGCCTGTACTTCGGCGCCCCGGTGCTCAGGTGCGCTTATTGTCCCCCCCCCCCCCCCCCCCCCGCCCCGGTTCCCGCCGGCCACGGCCCCTTTCGGCTCCTTTGCCCGGCCGTGCAAGGCCGCGCGTGCGGCCCGCCGCCACGCCCCTGGACCCTGACCTGGTGCCCTTTGCCGGTGGAGCAGCAACGACTCGGACTTCTTTGTGCATGGCTATGGCCGGGTCAAGACCATGTCCATCTTCCAAAAGCAGTTCCGCCTGGACCGCAGCGCCCCCGATGGCCGGCCGACCTTCCTGCCTTCGGCCACCTACGACGTGCCCTACCTCGGGGGGACCCTGCTGACGGCCGATCTGGCCAGCTACTTCGAAACCACCGGTATGCCATGCCTCGCCGGCGCCCCACGACAAGACAGCCGATGCTGACCGCCATGCCATGCCATCCCGTGCTGTGCCGACCCTGTCTGTACCCGGCCGGCCCCGTGGTCTGCACATGTGGATGTGTATACATGTATATATATGTTTGTGTGTGTGTGTGTGTTTGTGTGTCGTTGGCGTTGTTGTTGTTGCCGTGTGTGCCGCCGGTCGCGCGCGTCGTGGCACGCGCCCCGGGCTCGGCAGCCACCAAGATGGCCTGGCTGCCGCTGATCATGGGCTGCGACTTCGGCCCGCCGGACGGCCGGGTGGGCCTGCTCCTCCAGAGGTACCCCTTCCCCGATGGCAAGGTCGGCCAGTACTTCAAAAAGACGGCCGAGTGCTATACCACGTCGGAGGCCTGGCCGGTGGCCGGGGCCAACTTCAAGCCCTCCTGGCAGGAGATCCTCCGGGCCACCCATATGCGGGGGCGCCTTTTGCGGTCGGTGCTGGCGGCGCTGCCGGAGCCGGCGGCCCTGGAAGAGGCCCTCCGCCGGCCGGAGGCCCGGCTGGCGGGCGTCCGTAGCGAAGTGGACGCGGCCTTTCGCCGGCATCGGGCCCATATGGCCGCGCTGCTGGGGCACCTGCACCATTGCAGCGGAATCGGCACGCTGCTGCTGAAAAGTGGCCAGTTCGGCCCGCCGGCAGGGCAGCCCCTCGGCGCGCGGCACATCCACGATGGGGTGCTCCTTTGCCTGGGGATCTTCAGTGCCGGCCTGGCGGCCCCCGGTGGGGATAGCCTGCCGGCCCTGGCCCGGAGCCTCGCCACCTACCTGACCAAGGAGCGCATGGTGGACAGCCGGAGCCCGTGGTGCATCTACGCCACCACCCCTCCGCCGGGCTTCCCACCGGCGGACCTGCCCGACATGGCCCGGGGCCCGGGCCCGGCAGCCGGCCAGCCGACCGAGGCCGGCCCCGAGCCCGGTGCGCCCCGCGGAAGCCGGGCGGCCCCCGGTGGAGTGCGGTCGCCGGGCCGGCCGGCGGCGGCGGCGGCGGCGGCGGCGGCCACGGCCGCGGCCATGGGCTCCGGGCTGGCGGCCGCACTGCCGGCCCCCCGGGCCGAGTCCGGCCCCGGGGCCGACATGGAGCCCGGGTCCGAGGCCCTGCAGCCCCGGTGCCAATGCCAAAAGGCCCTGCCCCTGCTGCAGCCCCTGATCCAGGAGTTCTTCCACCTGCCGCTCTTCCACCTGGGCTTCGGGGCGGTGTACCCGCCGGAGGCGGCCGGCGACCGGCGGCTCTTCACGGTGGACACCTTCCTGGAGGGCATCAAGCGCGGCGACCGGCAGAAGGCCTTCTTCCTGCCGCTGCTGCCGCAGTTCAGCCACCTGCGCGACATCACCATCTGGGCCCCCACCCGGCCGGCGCGCATGCTGATGTATGCCCTGCTGGCGCGGGGCCCCGGCGGCCAGGCCCGCCCGACCAACCTGCTGCAGGTGACCGAGCACCACCCGGTGCCGACCATGCTGAATGGCATGCTCCCGGCCGGGCCGCCCAGCACGGCCCAGGTCTACCTGCTGGAGGAGCTGGCCGGCGAAACGGCCGCCCTCCTCCGAGTCGTGGACCGGGCCCTGGAGGTGGATGACCAGGATGCCGGCCTGGACCGGGTGCTCCTGGCGGTCATGCTGCTGTCGTCCAGCGTGGCCGACGGCGAGCTGGGCCTCAAGCCGGACATCGCCGCCGACCGGGCCCTTGTCCGGCGCCTGGGCACCCTGGCCGCCGCCCTGCCGGACAGCCTGGCCCTCGAGGGCGCCCTGGCCGGGCTCCGCATGCCGGCGGACATCCAAGCCGCGGCCATGGTGGCCCTGGGCCCCCGGTCGGCTGACGACCGGCCAAAGCTGGACCAGGCCCTGGGGCAGCTGATCGCCTGGTGCCTGGGCCGCATGGAGGCGGCCTTCGTGGGGGCCGAGAAAGTCACCCGGCTCCTGGCCCCCGGCGGGCTGAATGGCTGGCTGGCGAGTCTTGCGGCCATTGCGGCCGCCCGGCCGCCGGGGCCCGCCCCCCCGGCCGTGACCATCCCCTCGACCCAGATTGTGACGTCCTTCTCCCTGATGCTTGCCATCACATGCACCTGGCTGGATGTCTTCTCGGTGCTCTCGGGGCGCTGGTTGGCCCTGCGCCTGCAACGGCGCGCCCCTGGCGACGCCATTTGCCGGGCCAGCGTGTGCTCGGCCGTGTCCGAGCACTTGGTCCGCATCATGAACACCATCTCCCTTTGAGCACCGGGTGCCACCGGGCGCCGGGGCCCAGCCTGGGCCCGGATGTGTACTGCTCATCCATCCACATGGTCAAGGAAGAGCACACACACACACACACACGCACACGCACAAAGAAAAAATACACACAAGCGCCAAAACGCACGGGCGGCCCCCGACCGGCCTCCGGAAAGCGCGAGACGCGGATTAAACTGAGACCATTAACTCACGCGGCGCGGGCGGGGGGCACACACGATGCGAGTTGGCAGTATGCTTGTTTGTGGCCGCGGACCTCGCGCGCCCCCGGGGCGGATCGATTGAGACCCATCATGACACGGGGCCACAACGGGGCCCAGGGGGTGGGAAAGCGCGCCCTCGGTTCCGAAAACGCCCCCCGGTCCTCGTCCCCTCTCCGCACCTCAGGCGGGAAGGGGCGAACCCCAGCCTCCTGCAGGAGCCCCCTCTCTCTCTCTCTCTCTCTCTCTCTCTCTCTCTCTCTCTCTCTCTCTCTCTCTCTTACACACACACACACACACACACACACACACACGAAATGGCGACCCCCGTGGGGGGAGGAGGATGCCTGTCTTTTTTCGACCACCCTCTCAGCATGTCCCCTGGCTGTCCCACCCGTGCCGGATCGCCAAGATGGCATTCGCGACAGTCCGCCGGTCGGCCTGCTGCGCGGGAAGGATGCCTGCGGCGGGCGTGCTGCCGCGCATTGAAGCCCGGGAAGCCGGCCCGGGGGCCGACCATCCGATGAGGGCATTCGAAGAATCTGCCAGCCGGCCCTCCTGCCTGGGTCATTGGCCCGGAGCCGGCGACAGGAGGCCCGGTGCCGGCCACCAGTGTCTGGATCCCTCCGCCGGCAGCCGCGACGCGCCCTCCACCCAACGAGGCCAAGGGGCGGGGGGGAGGGCGAGGGGCGCGCCGGCGGGGAGGCGGCGGAGGGGGGCGCCCGGGCTGCGCCGCAGATCGGCCGGCCGAGGGACTGCCAGCCGCCCCTTGGCATCCGGCGGAGGGCCGGCGGGCGGGCGACTCTCGAAGTGGCGCCCCGAGGCGCCCAGTGTGCCGGAGCCGAGCGAGGAGGCAACCGCAGGCAGGAGGCGGCACAGTGCACCCGCCGGCCGTAGGGCCTGCCACTTGGGGCCATTGTCCGCCGCATCCTCGGACCTGGATACCGGCACCGGCAGCCGGGGGAGGGTTGTTGGGCCGGCCCGCCGGGTGGAGCGCCGCTCGGGCGGCTGCTCCCATTATTTCCCCTCCTTTGTCGCATCCGTTGCCTCTTTCGCCTGCCTGTTCGCCTGCAACCTTCCCTCGCGAGCTAATAGGGTATCACACACACACACACGCACACAGCCAGCATGGGCATCTACAAACTCCAGACACTCCTGTCCCAGTACCAGTACGCCATGCGCGAGAGCCTGAGGGCGCCGGCCGGCGAGGGGGGCGCCGGCCCCGAGGGCCCCAGGCCCGGGCCCGGCCCGGACCCCGGCCCCAGCGACATCAAGTACTCCAACTACCGGTTCTTCCACATCCCGGAGGACGTGTCCATCCTGGTGCTGCCGGTGGACTTGAGCAACTTCCTGTATGAGATGGTCCTCTCGACGTTCCTTTTCGTCGGCCAACGCCGCAGCATCGGCTATGACTCGGCGTTGGTGGTGCCCTTCCTGGACGCATTGGTGGAATGGCTGTCCCAGCGAAAGGTACTCTCGGGCTTGTTCGCGGCGCGCCCTGCGGCATGTGGCCCTCCTTCCGGCCGCGGAACTGACCCGGGATGCGCTCTCCCCCCCCCCCCCCCCCTCGTGCCGCCGGGCGCCGGGTGTCTCCCTTGACGGCGGCCCGGCGTCCATGATCCCGGCACTCCGGCCCCACTGTTCGCAAACCTTGCGCATGCGGACGCCCCCCCCCCCACGCGCGCAGTGCTACGCGGTGTTTGTGACGGACGGCCTGAAGCCCTCCAGGAAGGTGGTCACCACCAAGGACCGCAAGGAGAAGAAGAGCAAGATCCTCAATGTCAGGCTGACCCAGTACCTGGACTTGCTGGACGCCGGCCAGCATGCCGAGGCCCTCCGGCATTTGAGAGGCACCGAGCACCTGGACGGCTGCGCCCCGTTCGTATGCCAGGATGACTGCCCGGCCATCATGCAGCGCCGGCACGAGGAAGATTGCTCCGAGGAGGCGGGCTGCTCGGAGGAGTGCCGGATCCGCCGGGACTCGGAGAAGCCCACCGATCCGGCTGGGCACTTTTACTCGGTCGCCGCGCCCTTCACCCACAGCGTGGACTTCATCAATGTCTGGACCATTGCCCAGGCGCATCTGGCGGCCCTGGCCCGCGAGCACCCCCAGCGCCTGGCCTTCATCGGGTCGCACACGGAGGCCGACGATGTGCTCTCCCTGCTGAGCATGCACTTCAGTGTGCCGGTGGTGAGGTACGCGCGCGCGCGTGCGTGCGTGGGTGTGTGTGTGTGTGAGAGAGAGAGAGAGGGGGGGGGGGGAGTCTACGCCTGGCAGGCGGACAGCGGGCGGGCGAGGCGAAGCTGCCCTGCTCCAAAGTGCTGACCCTCGCATGTTGCCCTGGATGGCGGTGCTGGCGCGCGCCGTCCGCACGACCGCGCCCACCGGCGCCGACGAATGGGTCCCGCGTGGCAACGGGGCGCTTCAGCAATGACCTGGACTTCGCGGTGTTCGGCTTCGGCCAGATGAAGCCCTCGTCCCTCTTTCGGCGGCAATTCCGCCTTGTGGATGAGGCCGGCTCGCCGAAGTTCCTCCTTTTGGGCGAGAAGGGCCCCTCCGCCGGCAGGGTGCCCGTGGTGGAGGAGGAGCCGGGGCTCTCGGCCGATGTGCCATGCGCCGCCACGCGGCCTGCGATCTCGCGGGTCATGCGCAACAAGACCCTCCACTCGCGCACCTTGAAGAGCATCCTGGGAGTGCAATGTGCGTTGCTTGGGCTGGCCGGCGGCCGTGCGCCGATGCCCCGGGCGGCCCAGGTGGCCTTGCCAGTCCTTTCGTGCTTTTGGCCCGAGAGCGGCCCCGCCCGCCGGTTTGTTCCTCGAAGTGAGCCCCGACTGACAAGCTTCCCCCCGGGCCCGGGTTCCGACGGCTGATCGGTATCCTCGTCCGCACTGTTCCCTGCCCGGACATTCGCACGCCCTCATGTGTATATGCGCACATGCGCACACATGCGCACACGCGCACATGCGCACACATGCGCACACGCGCACACGCGCACACATTCACACCTCCACACATTCAAACACCTCCACACATTCAAACACCTCCACACATCTTCACAACACCTTCACAACACCTTCACAACACCTTCACAACACCTTCACATCACCTTCACAACCCCTTCACAACACCGCCTCTCGACAGACTCCAGCCAAATGGCCTGGCTGCCCCTGATCATGGGCGGGGACCACGGGCCGCCCGATGGCCGGCTCTGGACGCTCGTGAAGAGCTTCTTCCCGGAGGAGGACCACCAGGTGCGCCGGTACTTCGAGCGGGTGTCCGAGTGCTACGACGACCCGGCGCGCCCATGGCCCAAGGGGGCGTCCGGCTTCCGGCACGACTGGTGCCGCACCTTCCGGGAGGCCACCAGCTCGCTGGCGGTAGTCCGGGACCTGCTCCGCGTGCTGCCGGCCCCGGGGGACCTGCTGGACTTCCTGTGCGACCCGGGCAGGGACCTGCCGGGGCTGCAGCCCGACATGAGGAAGGCCATGCACGACAACAAGGCCCTGCTGTCGCCCCTGGAGGGGGCCTTGCGCCGGAGCAGCGGCCCGGGGGCCCTGCTCCTCCGGCGCTATGGGTACTACTGGCGGCCCAGGGGCCGGCTGGAGTTCAAGCACATCCGCGATGGGATTGTCTTTTGCCTGGGGGTGTGCAACGCCGGGTCCAAGCCCCAGATGCATCTTTACTGCCAGCGGAACTTCGCCGACAGCTTGCATCGGTTCCTGGATGCCGAGTGCCAGCTCCTCGCCGGGAACCCCTGGTGCCTGTATGCCAGCAGCCCGCCGCCGAGCACGCCGTGGAATTGGAAAAGCTCGCCGCTGGCCGGGCCGCGCGAGCCCCAGCAGCCGGGCCAGCCGGCTCGCCCGGGGCAGCCGGCCGGCCGCGAGGCCCGCGCGGCGGCCCCCCCGGCCCGCGGCCCGGATGGCGAAAGCCACGCGGAGGAGGGCTCGGCCGCCGGGCCGGGCACCGCCCCCCCGGCATGCCGCTGCCAATATGGCGCCTACCTGCTTCAGGGCCTGCTGCTGGAGCCCTTCCACTCGCCGCTCCTGGTCCAGGGGCTGTGCATGGCCTACGCCAAAACCCGCGGGCCCTGGATCCCCGAGGTGGTCCACATCTTCAAGAAGGACCTCCACAACAACCAGGCCACCCGGCTGGCCAGCATGCCGCCCCTGCCGCAGGTGGATCCCTGGCCGTGGGGCGGGGAAACCGTCTGGGCCCGGCTGCGCCACGCGCGCCTGCTCATGTACACCATGCTGGCCGCCGGGCCGCTGGGCAAGCCCAATGACATCCTCTTCCGCCGGGCCATCGAGAACCACCCCCTGGCCCAGGTGGACTGGACCCGGGACCTGGCCACGGCCAAGGCATTTGAGTATCGGCTTGACAAGTTCCTGGACGGGGAAATTGGCCACCTGCTGCACGTGGTGGACAGCGCCCTGCAGGGGGACCAGGACCGCGGCTTCGACCGGGTGCTGCTGGCCACCATCCTCCTGGCCAGCCGGCCGCCGGCCACCAACTTCCAGCAGCACGACTTCAAGGGGGTCTTCGACACCCTGCTGGGCCTGTGCAGCTTCGCCACCCGGCCCGTGGTCAAGGCCGCCATCCAGAGCCTCAACCTGCCGCGGGACATCAATTACCACTCGCTGGCGGCCCTGGTCCCGAAGGATGCCGGCGACCGGGGCTCCTTCGTGGCCTTCGCCCACAGCGTCCTGGACTGGTGCCTGATCCAGATGAAGACCAAGGCGTCCG